GCTAGGAATTAGTAGACGTCCTTATGGTGACATTTTCCGTCATGCTGACCTCACATCCTTGGTGGTGTTTTTTGTTTTTTTCTTTGTTTTTGGTTTAAAAGGGTTCAATTTACTTTCTAATTTCTATTATACTCCTCCGATTCTTAATATAAAACTCATTTAACTAATTTAATTAGATTAAAAATTTTAGATAAGTTAGTTAATTATAACAAAAGCAATACATTTTTCGTAAAACACCATAATTATCTTTCTTAATACCCCTATCTCTTCTAACTGATTATGGTTGATGGAGTATCCATAGAGGTAATTTAGAAAAAATTGATAAATATAATAAATGGGTCTCATATTTAGGATCAAAACCAATTCAAAAATTGAGTCCTATATTAAGGACCAGAGGAGTATGATTATATGCTATTATTCCTTTGACTCCACCATTTAAGATCTTACTAGTTAAAAGATGAATATTTTAGGGAAAGAATGATTGCATTTTTTACACAATAATAATAAACAATCAACTTATTAAATTTTTTAAAATAATTTAAATAGGTTTTACATAGGATGAAAAAAGATTTTCCTGAAACATAATCCCTGACCTAGCATCAGTCTTGACAAGATTCTTGCTATGTGGGACAAACGAGTCACCTAAGGAAGATTTTTTTAAAAAAGTGACGAAATAAACTATAAAACAGCTCACCGTTCACCACCCTAGTGGGGTTGGTGAGTTTTAGATGATATACGTAGACACAAATAGACCACTATTTGATAGCACTACCTCATGTTCTAATTATAAGAGTCAGTTGACTAATTTGAGGAGATTAAGGAAGTAAGTTGAGTTAGTTATTTGTCCTAAATAGGTGTTGTCTTTCCTAAAATATTCTTACTAATCAAGTGTATTGATTAAAATTATCATTATTATAAGGGTTACTTTAGAAAAAAAAAATATAAACATAAGAGACAAAGTAGATTGGGATCTTATATTCAGGACCAAAATAAAATTCAAATAGGATTTTATATTAAGAATCGGAGGTATTATATATTTTGATTATTGACATGTATGTGTGTAACGATCTACACAGTATGTCACTTTTATGATCTTAGCTTAAGCTTTTATATGGACTGACGTTGTGTTTATTTATTTTATTAAAAAGCTCACCAACACTTCTGAATAATTTTAATCTAATAGCAAACTTTATACATGTCCGTCCTACAAATAGAGAGAGAGAGAGAGAGAGAGAGAAGGAGGGAGAGAGAAACGTACATCAATTCCAGGGATGATCATCATCGAGTCTCCATCCTCACCAACCACCAAATGTTGAATTTTTTGGTTTTCCCTCGTTCTTAACATTAAAGGGTATTTGAGTGGTATACAAAATAAATATATAAAATGAGTTTTATCTTGATTTATATGAAAACACCTTTTAGAAGTAGTTTTTGCTGATTCTAAATATCCCTTAATGCCCCCTCAAGCTTAGATATTCAGGATTCCGAGATTATGAATAGGAATAGCTGCACGTACCTGTAGCTTGAATTTGAACTGATTAATCCCATCTCATATATTAAATATATAGTTATATATTTTTTCCGGTTCAAAATATAAGTTAAACTATATTCATTCACGTTTATCAAGAATTAGTTAAAATAAGTTTAAAATAATAAATTTGTAAGGCATGTGTTCTTGTTATCCAAATATGTTCTTGTTAATAAAGATAATAAGTAAAAAAATGCAATAAATCAATCAAAGAGAAAAAAAGAATATTTGGAGATAAAATTGGAAAAAAAATCATTAAATATTTAGGCAAAAATAAATGTTATCTTATAAAAAAAACCAAAACTGTTCAATAAAGTTTAGTTTATATTTTGAACCTACGTTGTTATTATTTATGGGCATAAAAAAACAAAATTGGTGAAGAAGAAGACAAGACTCAAAAGTGATGGAGTAAGATAATTGACATGCATTATCGTTGGGGGTTGGTGAGGTTATTGCCCGAAAATCAGTCCCAGAGAGGCCACATATGGAACCCGCTGGAGGCATAAAAAGGCATGCACCAACTACTAACTACACTTAATGAAGCTGGTAATAATAATAATGGTTGAATTTAAATTTAATTTAAATTAACTAACTCCATCAAATACTTAGATACTCCTCCTATCCTTAGTATAAGACTCATTTAACTAATTTGATTAGATTAAAGAAGTTAGGTAAGTTAGTTATTTATAAGAAATGTGGCATATTTTTCCTAAAATACTATAATCATCTTTCTTAATACCCCTTTTCTTCTTCTTGATTATAGTTGAGGGAGTATCCATAAAGGTAATTTAGAGAAAATTGATAAATATGAGAAATGAGTCTTATATTTAGAATCAAAATTAACTCAATAATGAGGTCCTATATTAAAGATCGGAGGAGTATATTAATCGTTATGACTGAGAGCTCACGTCGTAAATTAAAAGTATATATGGTTTGGTTTATATTAGAGGTGTCCGTGTCGTTAGGTTGTTGACTTGTATAAAGTTAGACAGAGATGCAAAAGTGGGTGGGATATTGACTTTGGATGTTGTGGTGGGGGGTTGGTAAGGGTACTTAAACGACCCGGAGGCGACGAAAACGACGATAGACCCAGAAGGATGGCTTCACACGGGGGACATAGGATACGTAGACGACGATGGGGAAGTGTTCATTGTGGACCGTTTGAAGGAGATCATCAAATACAAAGGCTTCCAGGTGGCTCCTGCTGAGCTGGAGGCTCTCCTCGTCTCCCACCCTCTCATCTCTGATGCTGCCGTTGTTCCGTGAGTTCCTCTTTCTAATTTCAATTTCATTACCTCTTTGTAATCATTTACAAGTTTTAAAGAATATGCTTCCCCTTCAATATAACACTTTTTTTTTTTTTACAAATTATGTTTTTAAAAGTGATTTTATAACATATGAATTAAATAGATGAGAGAATTTTGTCTCAACTTATATGAAATCATTTTTTTAAAAAAAGTATTTTCAGAGTAAGCAAACAACCATAATATATTATGAGGTAATTAATTTATTCTTGACATAATTTGGATTGATCAGGATGAAAGATGAGGCTGCGGGAGAGCTTCCAGTGGCATTTGTGGTGAGGTCAAACGGTTCTGAGATCTCTGAGGATGACATTAAACAATTCATTTCTCAACAGGTTCTTAATCTCCCCCTCGCTCCCTCTCTCCATCTCTTTTATTTTATTATTTTCGTTAATCAGATCTCCGTTATGCTTGCGTCCCAGACGTGATATAAAATTATAAATCATATTTTGATTTTGTGTGGCCGGCTTCGTAAACGGGTCAACAGACTGATACTTTTTTTTTTTTCCAAGGCCAATTAACATGTTATATTACTTACCAAAGCCGGCTCCAAGTGTCTGAAACGTATTAATTATTAAAAAAGTTAAAACTTTAATATAAGGGATTTTGTTGGCAGAAAAAAAATAGTGGGATTTTCATAAATCGTGTATGAGCATTAATTACAAATAAAATTGTTAGAGCTTCGTAAAGCCAGTAATTAATGATTTAATTTTTCCGTCTAGAGGTCGATTGGTCAGCCTTATTAGGAGAGAAATGATGTTTTTAGGATTCTTTGATTTATATTAATAGGGAAAAAACCAGTAGAGGCAAATTTATGAACTTTGTTTAGGGGGAAATTTTGGGAGAAATTTGTGGGAGTATGGAATTTGAGAATGTAATCTTCACTACATAGGAAATTAGAGATTTTTCGTGTGAACAATTAGATATTCAATTTGGATATGCTAATTCTAATTTACCAGTGGGACAATTTCCTTTTTTTTTCGCATGACAAATTAGGAAATTTGATTTGAAGTTGGAACTTTTCAGGTGGGAAAAACAATTTGGGGTTTTAATTAAGAGTAGTTGGCCAAAAAATCTCAATCTTCAGTGCATCGAATTTCAAAGATTTTCATAAATTATATCCATTATAAATTTTTAAATCATAAAACCAGAGTTAGTCCAAACAACCTATCCAGAAACTATATTTTATTCATAAACTTGTCCCATACAAAAATTTTGTTCCGTTTTGAAGTATTAATAAAACTTACGTACCGTCATCAGATCTAGAAGAGTATATAACGTCGGAATTAATCATCTGAAGTCAAAATTTTACGCCATTAACAAAGTTAATTATACACTACTCCCCGGTTTTATCATAAACACACAATAACAATATTGCGTAAATTAATAAAATTAGTTATCTTTTAAAAAATCAAAATTATCCACAATAAAAGTTATTAATTAGACAAGCTTCGTTAATTAATTAGAAAATTTTATGTTAGGAAATATTAGCTGAAAAAATAAACATTTTAGATGAACACATTTATATTATAGAAATATTATGGAGTTTCTTATAATAATCAAGAAGCATGAGGAATATTATATTATGCAATGTGCATGTTTAAATTTGTAACAACTTGCCTGTAAACTTGTGTGCTAAGATAAGCAACCACACGATGACTTGGCAACTCATCCTGCTTTATTTTATTTTAATTATCGATAGATATTATTAGATAGTTTAGATAGAACAAATTTGACTTAGTAGTTGGGATGTAACATTTTAATTTGAATATTTAAATTTAAAACGAGGCAGAGAAATTCTGATTTCGGAGAAGGTCGGTATGGTTTAGTTTCATAATTAGACAAATCACCTAATAATTGATTTTGATTGAAGGATATGCTTTGTCTTGTGGCAGGTGGTGTATTACAAGAGAATCCACAAGGTTATTTTCACAGACACTATTCCTAAAGCAGCCTCTGGCAAAATTCTGCGGAAGGATTTAAAAGCAAGGCTGCCATCAGATCTGGACAATTAATTAATTAACCTAATCCCACTGCAAATCAAATAAGGATTTAAAAAAATCAAGCCATGTGTATGAGTTTTTAATATATTATTAGCAGTTATATATTGTTTAATGTTTTCATTTGCTTTTGTATATGAGAGTTTGTTGCCATAAATGCAATTGGACATATAATGCAAATTAAAGTGCACACTTGAATAAATTGTATTAAAAGATACTTTACATTATACAAGTTCATATCGTTAACATAAGAATTAAATAACTAATTTGTAAATACTAAAAAATTAGTTAAATTAGTTATTTATAATAAATAAGTATTGTCTTTTCTAAATATCCTTGTTAATCATGTGTATTGAAACAATTCTTGCAATCAATATGAAGATTACTTGGAGACAAAATACAAAAATATGAGAAACAAAACAGATTGAGATTTTATATTTAGAATCAAATTGAATATTCAACTAGTTCTTATATTAAAGAAATATTAAGTTTATTCTCGTGCTTTCTTCATTTAATCAATAAACTTTCTTTGCCTAATTATAATATTTAATATTTTTGGTCAAAAACATTATGTCACTTCTTTTCGGTTGGATCGATTTCTTTCTTACTGGGCCATCATTTTGGGCCTTTTAATGTTATTGTTCAAAGCTGTGAGCCCGATTTTCCAATACGGGCTGGGCTTAGTCTTGTGGGCCGTTGCGTTGAACATATTTTTATTTCTATTGCCAGTAAATTGATTGCAAAGTGCTGCGAAGTTGCAGAGCCTGCCTGTTGGAAGATATCTTTTCGGTGCATACATTCTAATAACTTAATTTTTTTTTTGAAATTTGCACAAAATCCAATTGAATATGTAGAGAAATATTGGAAGAATAAAAAAACTTTATTAAATGTTTTTTTAATACCAGAAAACATCTTCTTGATGTATAACAAGGGAAAAATATTACGAAACTGGAGTCATATTATTCATTATCTTTCTGGCTTGACCGTTTATTATATTTATGATGTTTGGGTTATTCTCTAAAACACGGTGTTGAAGGGAGGCTAGAAAGTTGACACTCGCCATCAATATTAATGTACCAATATAACATTAGTTAAATATGACTATGTATTATCAAACGTTAGATAGTGGTTTAAATTTAAATAAATAAATTCAAATGCAAATTCAACTTCTTGTAAGTTAAAAAAAAAAAAACCCAAGAAGAAGAAAAAGAATTGGAGGATTCGAATCTAGAGAGAATGCTTTTAGAAGGACAACAGGAGGGGTCCGTACAATAAGCATTGACTTGGTAATAAGGTGCAGTGGTAACCCAACTCACATCCCAATATATGCATAAAACAGCCTTCCACCAGTTCATTTCTTTTGGTCAACTTGTGTCACTCTTCTGTCTGCCACTCTCCCCTCTTTCTTTCTATTCTCCAAATCAAATTATTTCTACTAACACCCTTTTGATGTCTATGTTTATTTCAAAAATTAATCTAAAGCATAGAATTTTACCATCTGAAAAAAAAAACTACTTTCTTAAATTGATTATGCATTTCAAGCTTTTGTAATGTATATTTTTAAACTTAAATAACATGTTAGTATATTTTTAGAGGGATTGGAGAAAAGCCTCACATTCAAAATTTTATTGGTAAAAAGAACCTAAATTAAAATATTGGCACTTTATGCATAAGAACTTTGTAAAATATCAATGATTTATGCATTTAAAACTCTATCAAGTTGTTCTCACCATTCACGAATAAAACTTTTATAGGGGGATTTTCTTTTCCAATTTTCCCTAGTTTCTTTCGCTTTTGTTCCTTATTTGAAATTCTCCACGACATGACAAACCTAGCATTGCTTCTTTGTCCTTGTTGGTTATTACTACTTCCGGTCTTAATTATAAGAACCAGTTAACTAATGTGAGGAAATTAAGGAAGTAAGTTGAGTTAGTTATTTATCCTAAATAGGTGTTGTTTTTCCTAAAATATCCTTACTAATTAAGTGTATTGACTAGAACTCTTATTATTAGAAGGGCTACTTTGGAAAAAAAATGTATAAATATGAGAAACAAAGTGGATTGGGGTTTTATATTTAGGACCAAAATAAAAGTCAAACATGGTCTTATATTAAGGACCGGAAGTAGTATTATACTTCGTTTTGGCATCTCTCTTTCTAATCATATCTCCACATGTTCATGCATCCATATACTTGCAACAACCACTTTCGTAATTCATATATCATACTATTTTAGACAAGGAATATTCTGCACGTATTTATATCTTGTATATTATTGTTTTATATAATTTTAATTGTTTTATTATTGAGGATAAGAAATTTAAATATATTGTTGATTGTTGATGTAATATATCTCGAAATTTTAACTGTGCACAAATATTCTACCGAAGCCCTTACTAATGATCTCATCAAATGAGAGGAATGAAAACTTATCGGTGTTCAATATTATAAAGATTGATTTTGCACGACCGAAAAACTACTTATGGCCTTGTCTACAGAGAAGTTAAAATTTTAAAAAAATGATTATGTGATACCCAAAAAAATTTCATAATAAGTATATGAATTTTATTATAGGAAATAGCGACAGGATCAATCATGCTCGCTGGTCATTGAGGTTTTTTTTTTTAGTGATCACATTTTTTTAATAACTCATAGTCCTCCTCTATGCATTCTAATTTCTAAGTTAAAAACATCAAGCATAGCTCAGATATTTTCAATTAATTAGCCAAATTGCACCAATCCTGCCGTCTCTATTCAATTGCAAAGATCGAACAATTAACTCAATATATTATGTAGTAAACGCAATTTGATCCTCATTTATTTCTGAATTTGGATATTGGGCATGTGTATAAATTAGTACTTCTTAAATAGGGGAATGCTTCAAATAAATCTCAGCTAGGAATTCATTACGCATTAATTATTTTTTATATTTGCGTGACAAAAATGAATATTAATCAAGATAATACCTTAATATGGACTACTAGAAAACAACGATTTTGTCATGAAAAAATTCGTGAGAAAATCCTTAAAAATCTTAGAGAAAATACTTTATCATTATTTCTTTAATGAGATCCATTTTATTAGAGCCAGTATAATTACACCCATTGTCATCAATCATCACTTCTCCTGCGACAATGATTTTCTCATAAAAAATTTTGTGAAAAAACTGAAAATTTGCAACCTTCTCACGTAAACTTCTGTGAAAAAATATCTGCATACTGCATTTCTCACAGATCCATTGTCAATGAGAAATGTGAGACAAATTCTCGTAATAAACCAATAATTTTGACAAAAACTTTTGTGAGAATTTCACAAAAAGGGTGCAATTGTTGGAAAATTGTATTGGTTTTCTTTGCAGAGTCCCAGTTTTACATGAATATGCATGTAATGCAATACAGTCAGAACTAACCGACAATATCGCCTGCCATAATAACCATAAAATTCTCATCTCTTTTCTCTCCCCTTTATCTTTGAAATAGTCTCTCATAATTTGTCTTTTGTGAGAAAATTTTCCTCGAAATGTTATCTGACAGGCGTTATTTCAGGAGAATGATCGAGATGAGACGCTTTGATTACTCTTTTTCCCATGAAAAAAAATCTTTACCTCCTTATAGTGATACTTAACACAGATACATATAGTCATATATTTTATCAAAATCAAGAAAAATATTGAATTCCATTAACTCTATATTAAAATTTAACTACTTTTTAACTTTATCTCTAATATATTCATATTAAAAATATAATAAAATGACTTATAAATAGAACTAAAAGAAACATTTTTTTTTACTTTATAAATAAGACTAGAAAAGTATATATATAAATGTAGACATAGCGCCCGTTTGAATTAGCGATAAAAAAAAGTAGTTTATTTTCAATTTGACTTTTAAAAAAGTTTGATTGGGTAATGTGACTTATATTTGAATTGACTTTCAGAAAAACTAAATTGAGTAAAAGTAGGAGTTATTTGGATTATGATTAAATAAGCAAACTTAGTTTGTAAGATTATCAAAATGGGTAGTATTAATAAGTCACTTGTACTAGAAGTTACTTATGATATAATTAAGAAGCTTTTTTTCAATTTTATCCATGTTGACTTAATAAATGCATAGAGAAAAATAATATACATAGATGAGATAAAATATAAAACATATTTTTAATACCATTTCTTTAATAAGGACAAATGTGAAAAAAAATTATCAATTTATTGCATTTTTTTATTTTTGGGTTTGCAGTACATGCGACTTATAAATAGAAACGTGCATCTGATAGGGTGGTTTTATAATTTTTTTATTGAAATAAGCTAAGTGAGACTCATAAATTTCTCACTCTTCTTTTTCCATTGTCTCCTTCTCTCCTCTCTCCATAGTTAATATGTAACTTTGCCTCCATAAGTAATTCAAAATGACTTGTGACTTTTGCATGTTGAGATTCGCATTTGACTTAAAAACCGTCGCTCGTCCGAACAAGAAGCTGAATCATTAACGTGCGTTTGGACTCTGAATCGTGACTTTTTACTCTTCAGACGCTCTGCCAAACAGGCCCTACTGTAAGTATAAATAAAAAGGGTTTTAATGGCCAATTTATTCAAGTGATGAATTCATTCTCCGGAAGCACATGAAACCGATAACTTAGAGTAGTATTTTGGACAATTGAATAATCCATGAAAATTATATAAAATCTAGAACCATAAAAGTTGGAAGCAATGTGTCTCCTGTTATCCTGCACAGTGAAACGCATCCCTGAATAGTTGAGAGGTGAGAGAGAGAGTGAGATGGCCGGCCATTACTGAAAACACTAGTTGGAGCATGGCTCCACCTTTAAATGTGAGTGGGATCGAACTCAGACATTGAGGTACAGGACGAGAAACTCATTAATGTAACTGTGTTGAACTATTCTTGGTGGCACTTTAAAACCTGGAACATAATGATATATATAAAGCAAATAATTAAGATGAGAACTTTTTAATTGACTTGGAACATATGTTTCCATGTGCTTCAAAGTATAAGAGTCTTGTGAGTTGATGATTATGTTGAGAGTGTGGAAGTCTAAATTAAAAAGCAATGTACTTGGCTAAATCAGGCCATAATATCAACATCATCTTTTGTATCCTTGATCATCCTCCTCTTATTTATCCAACAGAAGGAACTTTCTGTTTAGTCTTTGTAACTTTGCTTGTAATGTTTTGCTTTTAAGGTAATAGCATCCAGTTATTATTCAAAAAAAAAAAAAAAAAGGCAATGGGTG